CATTATAATCCACAATAAAAAAAAAACTATGTGTAGAGGATATCCTGTGACGAAAGCTGTGGAATTTCACTGGATGACTAACACCTTACCAATCTCAATTCATCTACGCAGATGAAGCAGTTGAAGGCTATTTCAGTAATAAAATAACTGAGAACTAGTCTTATAGAGATAATGAGTATAATACCTAAATAGTGGTTACACATGCTTACTAATGACAGCTAATTACAAATCTGTATCCTAGATTAGACGATTCGAACTGCGAAATTCAAGTAAGTAAATACCTTCAATTCAAAGTTTCTTTTCAGATTGACAGTGCAGAGAAACTATACACTAACATTAACCAACTAATTACTGTATGATATGGTCACTGCCAAAGTATACAAAAGTACTTGGGGCTAAAACTGATACTAAGGTTCAATTGTAGGTAAAAATTATTTTGATTAAGTCTCCCACTGTTATACAGTAATATTTACTGATAACAACGTTTCCAGCACAAATTATTGCCACTCATAAGCATATTTCATTTTTTTAAAATTTATTTATTTCGATTATTGCTTGATTCCACATTGTATTTGTGGTACAAGTATGAAATTTTCAGCATGTGATATCGGTAGCCCAATTTTGCATGCTGACCATTGATATCGGGTGTGTGTCGGTAGGGGATCGAAACCCGGACGATGTGTATGGTCGGTGAGAGCCCTAACCGCTGTGTCACCGACTCACACAAATTTCTAATTTCGTTTATGTAATTCCATTATATTCCATCTCTTGACTTGATGAGTAGTAGTACTTTCCATATTTCCGGTATGAGTGATGAGTCGTTTCTATTGCACGTGTTTGGTGTAAACTCAATGATCCAGGATTCAGTAATCAACCTCTCTCTCTCTCTTTCTCCATCTACCTATATTACTTTTTTGAATATCAACTCTGTCCCACCCACACCATTGTGTGGTTGTGTGTTAATACATGCAGTACAGTCACTGAGTGCTTTTTTCTAAATTGCTTAACTTCGCGGGTGGGATCAATCATTCTAACTTTAGCTAAATTCTCATGTTCTGATAATCTCACTACTCCTGATCTACTAGTCTGACTGACCTATGTAGTTTACCTGACTCGCAGTTACTGAAAGATATTTTGTAAATTAATTGGGTGGATCGACAGAGTCCTTTAACCTACACAGCTTGTCCTAACTGAGTGAGTTTGTAGGTTTAAATGCCACTGTAATTCCTGCTTTATTAGAATCCTGCGTAAGTTCTCAGATATCCGCTCCTTATATGGTAAAACTGTAGATGCCTTATACGCTTTCTTATTTATGTTATAATAATTAATTTCCCCATTATTTGTGCCAATGGTAACTAAGTTCCTTTGATAAAAGAAAGAAAAGAATTAGGCCATTGTGGTAGACTACAATTCCATGACACAGCAGTTTTATTTGAGGAGACCTCACACACAGGACGACTTATTTCTGATCATAAGCATATCAAGTCACTCAAATAACTTCCAAACTTTAGTCATCTACGACTATTATTTCTTATGCATTCATTTTATTGGTCGTAATATTTTCCATATCACTAGGATTGACGCTGTGGGATTCCCAGATCCCACGAAGAAAAGTTTAAGTAATCAACATTTCCCTCCACCTGATTATATCACTTTCATGCCTTGTCGGGTTCAACGTGACTGCTCTAAACTATGGTTACAGACTTCACATGGTATGCCCCATAATATCTTTTAATACCTTTGATTCCCTCGTCCTTCTCTTTTTTGTTATTTTTTCACATTCCACTTGATGCGAAGAAATGTCGCATAGCACCAAGGGTTGTTGAGCGACAGTGCAATAAGAATATGCATTAACGCCGGGCTTTTCTTATGAAGGGAAGCAAGGAAGTTATCACATTATCATTTTATCACATCGTAGTATACAATTACTCATATCAACCAATCAGTAGTATATTGTTGTATCCAAAGGAGGAATTTATCTTAGATGGTTGGAAGCAATCGGCTACAGGAAGCCTTGCTTGACCTAGGTTTCGTGCTAGTTGGCACTCGCCACCAAGGCGTATCTACAATCTCGAAGGAACTCATGTCCCTTCTGAGATTCGAACCCGCATCACCCAGTGCTGCAGTCAGAGACGTTACCACTGAGCTATTCGAGCTCGCGATTTACCTTCTGTATGACTATAGTGGGTATTTTGATTGGACACTAGTAACTAGTGTGACGTGTCTAATCCGAATAGCCCAGTGGTAACGTCTCTGACTGCAGCATTGGATGACGCGGGTTCGAATCTCAAAAGGAACATGAGTTCCTTCATGGTTGCAGATACGCCTTGCTGACGAGTGTCAACTATCATGAAACCTAGGTCCAAGGCTTCCTGCCAAATGCCCCAACCATCTAATATCATCAAATCAATGTGCACCGTGATGGTGAGCTACCTAGAACGGTGTCCACATTACAAACCTAACTGACAGAATTCAGTCTGCACCACAAAAGAGGACTAGACACATTACACTAGTACTAGTGTCAAATCAAAAAAGGAAGGAATTTAGACCGAAATCGAAGTGACTTTTTGAAATTGTCGGTTCGCGTTAGTATCTTTAGTTTTCAAGACTACTTTGCAGACAAGATCGATGGTAAGCTTCACAATTTATATATACATCACGAAATATAGCTATTTATTCAATTTTTGAGGGGAGAAGAGATTTTAATCCAAGTCTGATTATGTTCAGGCGTTGTCTCTACTGCGGGCAAAATTATTCATTGATAAGAAAAAACAGTTTTGTCCAGAGTAGAAATACTGCCTGTCAACTACTGTATTTTCAAGCGGTACAATCATATTTATCTTGAGGGAAAAGGCATTGAGTGTCACTACCAATTGCCCAGTCAACATACAAACGATAATAAGAATAAAGATAATGCACAAAAAATACCCATCCAAACATGAAAATAGGAAGAAACGGTTCAGCAAAGAGCCTATCTGTCAACAACAATTGCACATAAATATTTCATATGTGTGTACACATAGCTGTCGACGATCGATTTTTTTGATCCATTAAAGTGAATGTGACCTAATGAGTGTCCTTAAAGTTTTCAATAGTAGCCACTAAGTAATCCAAATTTAAAACTAAAGCAGAAACCGAACTCACAGTTTTATTTCTGAATGTTCGACCAGTAAAGAAAACTGATAGGACATTGAGCAGATCAGTATATATAGAAAACCTATGTGAAACGATCAGTTGGTAAATGTCTACAGACGATAACCATAAATCGGAAGTGAAACCTGATAATATCTCTCGCGACCAGGATACAAAGACTCTGAGGCCACAAGTTGCTAGATGAATAGACCACTATTCTGAGGAAGACAGTGATTAAAAATGGCTATCCTCCACGCTTCATAGTCGAACCCATAAAATGTAAAATCAAAAAGGAAAACCCCACCTATGTGTTGAAGAAAGTAATTTATATAGATGTGGTGTCCGAAGGAGACCTTCTGGCCGACAGCCTAAAAAGAAGAATACCTAACACCCTAAAGAGAACATTCTTTGCTGCTACATTACGATTGGTATTCTCATATCGTCAATTGTTCTTCAACAACTCCAAAGATAAACTATCGCGTCTCACCACTGCTATGTTTATCTACCAATTCACTTGCCTCTGTGAAATGAGATACACAGATTGTTTAATAAGTGTTTAATTTAGAGGATTCAAAGAAAATTATCCCTCTCGATTAAAGCAAAGTAACAGTGGGTCAATAAGGAGTGCTGTAATTGAACATTTATTCAACACCGGCCAATCAATATGCAAGGATAATGATATATATCCATATAATATGTGTGTTTGTTTGACATTCAGTTATATTTTGCTATGTATACATGGATCGATATTCCATTATAATTAGCCAATCATGTTAAGACTGTCTATTGATTTGTTCATTTTGAATATTCGCTCACACACTTGTTCGGACATTCATATATTTTTGCTCGGACACTCTTGTGTGACATTTTTGATTCTCCTTGTGTTTTAGAAAATAGAAGTATCATCGCAAACCTAGTGGTCTTCTGATTTCCGTCTTTCTTGCGTCAGGACTATTAAATTCTCGACCAGTACATAACAGATAATCCATTCAATCCTGAAAAACAGTATCCTCTAGTGTACTTGGCATTCCCTAGACTGTTAGCGATTTGGATGCAAAGCCCGGATTTATGTGCACACATACAGAAAACGGAGTAGATGCGGATACTCAACCACCGCCAACATTAATAGCACGTAATAATTAACTATCAATGGGAGAAATTTGGAAGGAGTTACCCCCCCCCGCCTTCATAAGCAACATAGTTCCAAGTACAAGGCACGCCTAATGGACGAGGGTGTCAAAACTGGGGTCGAAAAGGCAAGCGTGTAAGTTTGATGCGCTCCGCCTCAGCATTAAAAACAAGATTCAAGCTTTCAGCGACAATGTTAAACCATTTAGTGCTTATGTATGGGTCAGAGATTTGGCCAGAGTGTCACGAAAAGTATTTCCAACAGGCTGTAGAATTTCATCAACAGCTACCTTCGCTGACTCCGTACTGAAGATCACATGGCCGGCTGGAAAGAATCAGCAACAAAAGCTCTGGTAACGAAGCAATCCAGAACCTATTACTAAAAAAAAACGTTCCGAAGAAAAATGCAGATGGAGTAGACATATACTGAGAAGACCGTCGAATGACATCACGCTCCATACCGTTGAGCAGAACCCGAACGGAAAATGAAGCATCAGGTATCCAAAGGTGGCATGCAGTAGGTGGTGTGAGTACGCGATGAAACCTTATGAGCAACGTGAAGCCAGCTGAAAATAACTTTAGAAAAGGAGACAAAGTGGTGATGCGCGATTGTAGTCATATATTCAACTCGAAACCCAAGGGAGTAAAAACTAATAATAATAGAAAGGACATCAGCAAACGCATAATAATATATCACTGTGTGCTATTAACAAAATTCAAAAAAGAAAAAAAAGACTAACCATCATTTCCAGTAACTTTATACGTTCCACCGAAACATTCGTGTTCAAGCAATTCATCTGTCAGTTGTACAGGCTCAACACATGTATCATTAAATCGATACCAATTTTCTGTATCCTTCTGGTTGCTTTGAATCGGCCAATTATGATTCACTTTGATTTGATTTTCAGAAATTGTTGACAAATTAGACTTTTCGAATGTTTGTACGCCATGATTTGATGACTGATTTATTATTGTGGTTGTGGTATTGTCTTGATGGCTTGCAGTATTTGCATTGACTTGGTCAGCAGTATCAAAAGTATCTACTGATGAATTTGTAGGACTAAATTCAATAAAAATAAAGATGGACGGTTAAATTCTGAAGAAGAAAACAGTGTGATTCAGTTACGATTTGACAGCATAAGCGAACAAAATTGTTGTTTTCAACTAGATCTCTCAAACGAAACAACTACCCAAGGAACTTCATCAACAAAACCAAAACTGACGTTAAGTATGGTTCAAAACGCATTCCGAAAACATGGACTTCAACAGTCGTCATTCCATTTAGAGCAGAGACGTCAGACAATATCAGAAGAGTACTCAATCAGCTCGGCATCAGAGTTTTCTTCAAGACATCGGACACACTACAAAGCAACCTTGTCCATATAAAACACCAAATCCCTGAAGATTCTCTATCTAATTGTGTCTATGAAATAAAATGCTTGGAATGTGATGAGATATACATGTGACATCGCTAAAGATAAATCGAGGTAATTCAAAGAAATGAACACCGTAGAGCATCTGTTCAACCACCGAGAAGTAAATCCTGTTGAACTAGAAAATTTAGAAAAATCATCAACCATGGCCTGTCTACTCGCTATAGAATCAGGCCACAAAATTGATTTTGACAATATTGAAATAAACCAGAGAAACCTCAGAAATCACAAAGAAAGTACTTCATATCAAATGGAATCCAAATTGTCTGAATAGGAATGATGGACTAAAACAGAATCTGACCTGGTTACAACAACCCCCTCCCCCATGAAGTGACAAAATCAACACGAATGTGATGAGCAATATCATTATATAAACCTACGCTGTTTTATAATTTTACACACTTATCAAATCCAACAATCTACACTTGGTTTTGTTATCTTTACCAATTGGCCGATTTGACAACAACGCAAAAATGACCCCATACTGAGGAACGATGATCAAGTTAGTAAACTTTGTTTCGATACCATAGCAGATGTACTGTTACCTTTGTTATTTGGTTTAGTGATCATAATTGTTATTTTAACTTTCAATATGTCCTTTCAACTTGACCTAAGTAGTCTAGTTTCTCACCTCTTAACTCTTTGTTATATATATGCTGAGATTTTGTGAAATAATACTTTGATAAAACCATTAGCATTAAATAGCGAAACGTTAGTAAAAACAACAATATCGTTTTGTTTTTCAGTCATTGGGAAATACAAAAACTTTATTATGGTGAGTATTATATACCCGATGCCCAAATTTTCCCAAACTGTTAAAAGTGAACCTCGTTTGGACATATAATTAACATAGATTTGTATATATATAGAAAATTTAACCAATGACGATAAGCTTGTGGGTCTAATAATAATAATAATAATAATAATGTAATAAATGCTTCCAACGACAGTAGTAACAACGTTTATCACGATAACAAAATAATGATAATAAGGTTTGTGCAGGTGGCGATAAGAATAACGAAGGTAGTAATATGTGTATATGTAGACAATTCAAAAAATAAATTAGTTCAAATCTTAAAAGTTACGTAATACTAAAGGTGAAGTGGGCATAAAATCAGACTTTAAATAAGTATCATAAAAATATGAAGAAGATGGAAAATAAGAAGGGGTGGGAGGGTTTTAATTAGAAATTACCTAGACAAGCATGGGAGAGACAGAGGTAGAACAAACTGCTTTTGTATGCAAAGAGACTAAGATTGTTCAGTCGGATTAATCCCCATAGCTTCGGTTATATGTAAAAGGTAGGTTCGAATTCCGTTCGAAAGGTTCGATAGAATGCGATGGATAACTTTGAAGGTAGTTCACCTTCTGTCCACTTGGTGACCGCTGTCATTAATCAAATGAGTCAAAACGGAACTTTTTATAGATTTTATTTGACCTTTTCCGAACAATGCCCATTAATACGTTTGTTAAACTGTCTAATGCTCACCCTATGTAACTCTATCCTCAGGAGCAACAACATTTGTAGATACATATAGAAGTGGCACAGAGAGCTAACTTGTCTTTCGCTTGAGCAATCATAATTGGTCGGCAGCTGGAAAATGACAAACAAGGGATCGGTGGCAGTATGTGTCCGTTTTATTGCTCACGATAATCTTAGATGTAAGACTTCACCAACCACGTCCTCATTAAATTGCAATTTTTGGAACAGTTATTTCTTTTTAACTGTGTTTTCAGTTTCTCTTTATTGAACTTGGTGTTCATGAGTCTCCTTACAAATCTACTTGGATAACCTGTTTGAACTAGCGTATTTTGGATGTATCCAAACTCATTTTCTAGGGAGTCATCTATACAGATCCATCTTGCTATATTCGTGAGGCATCTGACCAAGCTGATTTTGTATCGGATTGGTACGAAATGGGAAAAATGTGTATATTGTCCTAGAAACATAGGTGTCCTATAGACATCTCTCTTGAGTGCACCATCCTCTTTTCTCCTCAATTGGACGTCAAGGAAATGCAGTCTACCATCGTGTTCTCCTTCTTCGCAAGTTGAAGATGAGCGATGGATGTGCATCATTACACTTTTTTTAACATATTCTTGTCAGCTTTCTCATCAAGAATAATTAACATGTCATCAACATAACGTAAAATAAGAATTCGTTTTATTTATTACTTGTTTCAATGGACTATTTGAAGCTTAACAAGAAAGAAATTTGGCAAAAACCTGAAGGAGATCTAATTGAAAACAACAATATTGTTCGCTTATATTGTCTTGTTCTAATATTAATAATGGGAATATTTAACGAACAGAAAAAACAACAACACATAAACGAATAAAGACTGAAGGAAGGTACAAGTTGTTGTGGTCAATGCATAAGCTTTGACCAATAGGTTCAATTTTGTTGGAAGCTGACTTGACAGATCCAGCCACCCACCTTTACACACACATACACACACAGTGGAGTCAGTCCCCAATGAGAAGAGAGATAAGCAACAATTGTTTCAAATCCAGTAAAAAACAGTATTAACAACAACAACAACACCACCAACAACAACGAAATATTGCCAGAATTCATATTACCAGTGAAAACACTATCACTGATTGAAATGGAGATAATGGGCATTATAACCAGCTGATAAGTAAGTCACAGGACCAAAAAGCCATCTTAGATTGTATCGTCAAATAAGTGAAAAACAAACATTCAAAATTCCAATTAGTAAAATATCTCTTTTATTTATTCAAAATGCTGAATATCAATTCAACCAACAACAAATTTCCTATATTCATAAATATCTACGTATAAGGTGAACAGTTTACACTGAGAAACACATTTTCGGTGAGAAAACCAGAACATAATATCATAAAACGATGGACATATGAAGAAGTGTCAGTGTAGTGTCGGTGATGAAGTAGTAATACTGATGATTTGTCGGTTCGATGCTAATACCGATAGGAAGCCTTCGACCTCGGTTTCAAGCTAGTAGGCATACACCAGTCAGCAAGACTAGTCTACAACCTTGAAGGGACAACTCATGTCCGTTCTGAGTTCTGAACCGGCGTTACCCAGTGCTGCCTGCAGTCGGACGTTACCACTGAGCTATTCGAGCTCGCAATTGATCTCCAGTAGGATTGTATTAGATCCTTTGATTGGACACTAGTCAGTAACTAGTGTAATATGTCTAGACCTTTGTTTTCTCTGCAGACTGAATTCTACAAGTCAAGTTTGCAGTGTGGCCACCACCACTCAAAGTGGCTCACCATCACAGTGCACTTTGAATTGTTGATATCAGATGGTTCGATGCAATCGACTACAGGAAGCCCTGCTTGACCTAGGTTTCGTGCTTGCTGATTGATACTCGTCAGAAATATATATCTGCAATCTTGAAGGAATTCATATCCTCTCTGAGACTCGATCTCGTGTCAGCCAGCTTCAGTAGAGCGAGTTACATAGGCCGTATTTATCGTCAGGTTACCGGACACTATCCTGCGTGGTTGAGTAAGGGACAAATAAAGTCCATTCATGCTTCTATTCTGTCTCATCTTGTGGATATGGAACATAAAATTGATGTCAACGAGGCGGCTTTCGAAGTCATCTACCGCATACCAAGAAATCTTAACTTTGTCTTAATAGTTCGTCTATTGTATATTACTAAGGCTGTTGGGATCCACATTAAGAAGTCCAACTTATGTGTCCAAAAGAGGCTGGTTTAGACACTCACTCCCCTTACCTTGGCCCTCAAGGTTCTAATGATCGTCAATTTGTTGTGGAAATTTCCTCAATTTTAGTTGATATTCTATTTACTATTATATTTTTCTGTTTATTACAATTTAATTCGCGAAAAATACCCATTAAGACATTGAAATAAGAACAAACAAGTTCAGCGAAGAGTCTCTTTTCGGCGAATTCATTCTCTTAGCTGTACAGTCGCAAATATATACAATTAATTTTGTGTGTGTGTGCATAAGGTTTGTCAAAATCAAAATCAAAATAACAGTTAGTGTGGGTTATTGGTTACATCATCAAAATAATAAAGAAATTAAATTGTGTGAATAGTAATCAAAGTTGTAACTAAGTAGGGTGAGGAATGGTAAGATGTGAGTAGGGTTACGTCATCAAAATAATATAGAAATTAAAATGTGTGATTAATAATCAAAGTTGTAACTAAGTGGGGTGAAAATTGGTAAGATGTGAGTAGGGTTACGTAATATAGACATGTTTAGAAAGATTAGATGTTCGTGAAGGAGTATGGAGACAATTATGAAAATAAACTAGATAATAGGTGAAAAGATTGAATGGGTTAGTTACTAAAAATTATTATACGAATATTGCAAAAAATTTTGATAACAAAATGTTGATGACAGATGAACTTGAAATTAAACCCACGGTAGTAGGAGGGGGTGGAGAAGTTTCTTCTGTGTGCATAATTCAGGCTTTTCTATCCAAATCGCTAAGGCTTCGGCAATACAAAGTATACGGAAGCTTGTCGATTTTGGAAGGCTTCTTTTGACTTTATAGATGACTTTGAATGACTTCTCCTTGCAAATCGAATGACCAGTGTTGAGTACATGCTCAATAATGGCGCTCCTTATTGCTCCATTGTTACCTTTCCGTAGCCAGGCGGGA